ATATCCGCCTTAACTCATGTGTCTCAATTCAACCCTAACTAACTAATCTTTAGATCATAAAATGTTCTAGCAACTTCAAGTTGGGAGTGTATCACAACAACGTGGATATACAGAATTTGATCCAATTTCCTGGAATAAAATCCTTGTATCTAGGCACGTAATCCAGAGCTTCCTCCCATATCTCTAGAGAACCTAGTACGCGAAACTCGATGATAGCTATCACGTCGGCACCTACAGTCGTCGTACCTTTTATCAAATGTGCGGTGAGGCATTAAACTGTCAACAAAGAGAGTTCTTTATCATCGGTACAGTCATTTAAACTCGTCCTAGTACTTTGTACAAATTTGTAGTCCTCATGTACGCAACACGACATATCCGCTTATACCAATTGACGCGTGACCTCGTTTTGTACACCAGGCTGCACCCAAGAAGTGTTATTCGTACGGTCAATATGGCTCACCTGCTGCACTATTGCAGCAAACACTTACGTATCCAAACTCGCAAGTCATTTATCAGCAGTAGCGCATTCACTTGCACGTGGCACGGGATATGAGAAAGAAGCAAAGTACGATAGCTTAACGAACAGTGCAGAATACAGGGATGATGTATGTCGTGTAAGGACACGAGTTGCATATTGTACTAAGATCAAGTTGGTGAGATTTTGTTACGAGGCACTGATTGTTTGGGGTGGTGCAAAACATCACGTACACTAGTACGTGCAGAGGAAGCTAATTTACTCAAACAGCTAGTTTGAGTAAAGGGTAAAAAGAGCTCTGTACGTAATATAAATTAGCTGCCATGTAACTTCATTTTGCATTGAACCAAATTATTATGTATAGTCGTATGACGACAACCTACTCACCACTCATTGCGCGCGTCTAACAGCGATTGGTGGCAATCTATGGTTGATATGTCTTATATCAACCAATCTTGAAGCATCGCATGATTATTATCCTACAAAGGGATACTATTCCATCAATATTATCCATCTCAGATAATGCTAAAAGGGAATTGTCACGCTAGACGATCTCCCAATTGACACCATTTGGTGTCAATATCAAGGAGCAGACTACCCCGTTACATCAACCCCGTACCCTTTAACACCCGTTGATTTAATTAAATTGGTTAGGGACAGGGTGATTAACGATGGGTACTCCACGAAGGAGATCACTTGTTAGTCAAATTTTCGCTCTTTTGCCAATTCAGTGCACGGTGTCAAAGTCCATGCGAGTTGCTGCCGAAGCAGAAAGAAAGGCGGCTGCACGCTTGCATGCAGTCGAAGAGAGTTTTTTATCTTGCTTTAGCAGCAGGTGATCCTACGCCTGCTGTTGCGATTCAACAACAGGCGGTGCCTGTTGTGGACAGTCCACGTAGTGAGTCACCACGTGCGACAGATACATCCGCTGCGTCTGCAGCGGATACTGCGAATCGCAATGTAGATGAGCCTGGAATTGAGCTCATCTATTTTGGCGAGTTGGATGGTGTATCCGACTCAAAGGCGAAACCTCACGTCTCCGAATCATCCGGAGCGGAAACTGCAAGAGCCAGTTTGACTGACTCTGGGGGACGTGTCGGCATCTCAAATCCAAGATTTTCGGACAGAGCAATTCTTCTGACGAATTCATGTATAACGCAAGTCCATCCTATGATAGGATGCGCGGAGATGGTGGTGATGCCACTATGCATCACCGCTAGAGAAGCAACTCGAAGGATTGAGCTGCCACTGGTGTCAGTGCTCCTGCTGACACCAGTCAAGAGGTTAGGATTCTCAATTATCTGCGCTACGCTTCTCAGGTGGAGCCTCCTTGGATGCCAACATCCAAGGAGTTAGATTGAGTGGACGGTCTGATCCCCGAACGGGAATCTATCCCGTTTTTCGACTGTAGGAGATGTGTCCTCCTAATTCCCGCACAGAAAATATTTGTGCTGAGAAAGAGTTTTCCATGATTTTCTCTTTAAACATAGGTGGTATAATGGCAACCGTGGTCGAGACGTTAAGGCCGTGGTGCAAGGATGGAATGCTCTTATTCAGAACATCGAGTACATTGGCCGTGAGGCATGATTAGCCAAACTTGATGTAGCTCGCATCAGGTTTGAGAAACACAACCCAGTCGGGGTACGATACAAGTTGCATGCGCTGTCTAGGGAGGCAGGATTAACTGTCTCCCGTGGGGTGATTCGTGTCCAGGTTGCCTGGACAATTCGAACCGTGCCCCTAGGGAGGCCTACCTCCCTAATGATCCCTACTGGAGGGCGCGCATCTCTTCCGAGATGGCCGAAGGGATCGATACTTTGCAATCCCTGTACTCGCGTTCTGGGAGTTCGTTTTCCGACGGCCTTTCTTCGAATGCAGCGGATGGGTCTCGTCATATAGCTTGACGAGACCCAAGGTATCAACAATCAGCAGGGCACGACGCTCCCAGCTGTCCCAGGCCGGTAAATAGCCACGCATGCGGACGAGGTAACTCGTCCGGACGCCATTCGCGTCGAGGTGGTTCAAAATACGCTCCACCAGGATGCGTTGACCACCACCAGAAAACATTAATGGATGTGGTGGTGGTAAGAACACCTGATCCGGATCGAGGGTCGTATCATCTTAAAAGTCAGGAGCTGGAGCGTGTAACGGAACAGTTACAAGATGACCTGGCTTATATACGGACTCGGCATTACGATCCTTATGATCTTGTAAGGCATTGTCATTATTCCTGAGCGCACGGTCGTTCGGACGATTGTGCCATGTTTGCGTTTGCGCAAGTAAAAAAACTTTCGATTCGTTCTTTTCGTGTCGAGCTGACTGCATCTCGTCGGGACATCGCTCACCTGCGTGAGCTGGTCGTTTTGCCATTTAACCCGACTGGCTCGTTGAAACAGGACCACTTATAGGTGGCCTCGGCCCTTGACCGCGGAGGTGTTCTTTGCCTCTCGAAAGGGGCTCGTACTGATCGATCGGGCGGAGACGACCGACATGAAACGTAGGATGCGTGCGCATCTTGTGGGCAGTTCAATCGTGTATGCGCTGCCTATTCGGCGCAACACACGAAACGGACCGATATACCTGAGCAGTGATTTACTGCTGCCCACGTTTGTCACTGCGTGTTTCGGTAAGTTTACTGTATACAGAAAAACTAGGTCTCCTATAACAAATGAAAGAACGGTTGCTTTTCCATGTTTGTCTGCGTTTCGTTTCCGTCTGTCCAGTGCATCTGCAATAGAGTCTTGAACAAAGCGGACAACCGCTTCGCGAGTCAGCAGAGTTTCCTCTGCTGATTCATCATTGTGAACAGCAGTGAGCTTCATGTGAACTGCTGAAAAGAAGTTGTATTCACCAGTGAGGGTGTCATCGTTCTCACTGTAACAATCATTGGTGATGCTGAACATATAAGCATTGTTTTCAGCATCGACATCGGTGTCGATCGCATCGACATCCGCATCCATCACGCCGACACCATTGTCGACAAGTGATGAGCCAGAATCAGATCGAGTTGTGTTCGAGCAAGTCCACCCACCCTATAACTAATGTCACACTATAAGAAGGAGGGTAAACGTGGATAGCGTAGGCCATTCACGAAGAACGGTGTATGCGTCGTCGACGCGTGCACCGAGCTATTGATGGCAATTTCCGCCATCGACAAGAACTCACTCCAACTTGTAAACGAGTGGAAATACCCTCGAAGTATCTCTTTGAGAACGCGGTTGACGCGTTCCGTTTGACCATCTGTTTTGGGATGGTCAGAAGTTGACATCTTCAAACGTGTTCCAAGTGAACGGAACACGAGTTGCCAAAACTCCACTGTGAAGCAAGGGTTCATCCGAAACAATCTCACGAAGTAACCCGTGAAGGCGGAAGATAGTATCGATTAAGACACGCGCACAGCCCTGGGCTGTGATTGACTCCGGTACAGCAACAAGATGTACCATCTTGCTGAACCGATCAACAAACACAAGAATACCAGTATTCATGTGAACGTCTTTGGGAAATCCAAAGACGAAGTCCGTCGATACGTACTGCCAACACTCTGCCGGAATCGGAAGAGGCTGTAAGGGTGCGCGGGATGAAGGACAAGTCTTCACCCGTTGGCAAACTTCGCAAGCGCGAATTTATTTGCGCACAAACTTATACTGGCGGGGCCAGTAGAAGTCACGACTCACCATGAGGTCAGTCTTTCTCTACCGCGATGTCCACTTATTGGGGCATCGTGACACTCATAAATGATGCGCAATCACAAATCATTATGAGCCGGAACGACGATACGAGTTGTGTCCCTGTTGAGTGCTGTGTAGTACAGCAGTTCATTGAGAACTGAACACCTTCGGTTGAAGAGCGGTATTAAGACAACAAGCTTTCAAAGCTTGATTACACAGATTGGATACGTGATCCATCGATCTCAGAAGAGACTCATCTTCTGCGTATGCTCTACGCGCGTCTTAATGCAGATTCGACGACGGAACACTCACTGTTAGTGTCGATACAGTGGGATCACCCCTACTGTTGTGTCGAGCAGTCGGCTCGAAATCGGGCCGACGCGAAAGAGAATCAGCGCATCAGCGTCGGCGTTTAGTCTTCTTGGTCTTTACTCGACGGAGAAGTTAAAGTCCGCGAAGAAAGACAGCCACCTCACCATTCGTTGCGAGAGGTGTGGACTTTTTAAGGCCGTGCGTAATGACGCATGGTCGGTCTAAACGATAAAGGGCCTATCTCCTGATAGATATACACGAAACTTGGCCAGCGCATCTTATGGCAAGGAACTCCTTGTCATGCACCGGGCAATCACGCTCAGCTGCTTGCAGCTGACGCGATTGATAACAGACGATGCGCTCAACGCCGTCTGAGTCGTACTGCATTAACGCGCAGCCGGTTGCAAAATCGCTGGTGTCACAGACCACATGAAATGGCCTATCATGATCTTCAATTGCCAACACAGGCGATTGCACCAAGCTTTTCTTGATGCTTTTAAAAGAGTGCTGACACTCAGCGCTCCACGACCACCTCTCGCTTATCTTTACAGACGAGAGAGATGTACAGTCATCTCGACATAGTTGCGCGAGCACTTGTGCAAGTACGCCGCCAAGCCAAGGTACTTTTGAAGTCCCTTGCCGTCGAACGGCACAGGCCAGTCGCTAATCGCCTTGATCTTTTCCGGATCAGGGCGTACACCGTTTTTACCCTCAATGCAGCCAAGAAGTGGCATTTCGTTCGCTGCGAATATACACTTCTTGAGGTTCGCGAACAGATTATGCTCTCTCATTAGAGTAAGAACCTTCCATACGTGGATTCTATAAACCTCTACGTCCGTCTTTCCATCCATAGCCCGGCTATGGACGAAGCCATCGTCAAAGTAACTCAGTGCGAAGTCTCGCACCGATCGCAACAGATTTGTGACACATCTGTTCAACATTGCAGGGGCGTTACTTAGCCCCCGTAACATCACTAGCCACTCCCAGAGCATATTACTGGGGGTGCTCACAGCTGTGTACGGGATGTACCGTTCGCGCATGATGATCTGATAGAATCCATCCAGTCGATCCATGGACAAAAAGATGGTACTCTTTGCCATACCATCTATCATGACATCCTTTCTTGGGATCGGCGTTTGAGCTGGTACCGTTGCAGCGTTCAATTTGTTGAACGCGTGCACTATCCGCCACCCTCCTGTGGCCTTTCGTACACAGAAGGTCGGAGAGCTGTGTGGGGATGTTGATTTACTCACATGAACAGCCGCTAGCGATCGGCAAAGAATTAGTCAATCGCTGTTACCTGTTCACGAGGCAGTGGCCACTGTTTCATGGCACAGCATATCGAACCAGGTTTCAGTTCAATCTCATGCCGAGTGCCTTTGTACTTAGGCAGCTTGCATGGCACGGATTCCATGAATACATCCCTGAATTCAACCAAATCTTTAAACAAAGGATCTGTCTCCAAAGACTCCCAAGATTGAGACGTGTATCGCTCAGCCCGGGTCTTCTTATCGAGACAATCTCAAACCACATCCTCAGGTTTTTAGGTCCATACCCTCAACATAACTCTCTTGAGAGTTATCACTCTCAGAAACGCTAGAATTTTCTTACATTACGTGTACTAAATGTGGGTGTACTACCACAGTCACGTCCTCTTCGATCGACTCTCTTTCAGTCGATCGGGTTTGCTCTACAATCGACTCTCTGATAGTCAATCTCGCTGTAACGTGCTGTTCATCATGAATGACATTAATCTCTCTTTTTGGATGCAACCTTCTTGGTGTGCATCCGTGTTCCAGTCCACTCGATCTTTTCGAGTGGTGAACCTTCGGCGCAGCCTGTTTCTCTACACAGGTGCCGGAAGCTGGTTCCACAGTGCAGTGGCCTTCTACACTGTGATCTTGTGCGATCGTACTAGCAACCGTACCACAATTGAGGCCATCGCACTCACTCGTAGTATATCCACACGCCCGTAGAAGCTTCAAGACGTTCATCAGATGGCCAACTAATGAACAAACGGCAGGCATCGTCACGGATCGATGCTTCCAGCTGACCCATGGCTGGTATCTTCTAAGCCATGGCAGACCAAGGATGACATCAAATTTTTCATCCAAAATCTAATACGATAAAGTCATCGTCATATTGGGCATCTTGTCATCATCGTATTGTTTTACTTCTAGCCTGTAGTGGATTCCCACTACACGTTTGTTCACTGTTACGGTTGCGCATGTAGCAAGGCACACCGTCATCCTCGTTGGAGAAAACTCTCGCTCAACATAGTTGAGACTACTATCCCTTGGCGGCTGGCGTCGGATGAAACTGTTCGACGCACCACAGTCATCTAGGGCACGAAGTGACATTCCACTTGCCACTTCGATCTTCAAAGTGATGAGAGACACCTCATCACTAAGGGCAGTAACACACAGCGACTGCGTGTTGGGAGCAATCTTCGTCAAGAGTCCTAAAAATCCTCTTGACGTTGCTGGATCAGCAGGGTGCTCCGCCCCTACTGACCCTGACCGTTTTTTTGACGGTCCGACTTGCTGTCGCGGCTTGGCGACATGGTCGGACCCACGCCTTGGACCCTTCCTTGGCCAACGGTGGTCATTACGTCCTGTCTTTGGACGAGTTGTGGTGCTTGGGACACTATACTCATGAGCGTAGTGTCCAATCTTTTGACAGCGATGACATCTTGCCGTTCGCTTGTGGCTCAGAGAGCGAGAGTTCTCGCTCTCGATGTAACATAGGTCCATTGGTTCGGGACCTACTGTTTCCCGTCGTCTCGTCGGACGATAGTTTGACGAGTTAGCCTGAGACTGTCTCAGGCTGAAGTCTTCTTGTTCCGCTATCGCCTTTTCCAGCGTATGGAAGTCCTCTTGGAACATGTAGGTCTTCACCGGCCCATCTACAAGGCCGTAGATGAACACGTTGATGTGCTTGTGCTCATCAACAGGATTCTTTGTAACGCTACTCACAAGGTATCGTATGTGTTGTGCATAATCATGCTCATCACGCTTACCTCAAAAGTGCAGAGGGTGCTATAAATTCGGCTCGTGGCGGCTCAAACGTCTCTTTGAGCCAAAATTTAAAGATCTCTTACGACTCAAATAGGTTTAGGTCGCAAAGCTTGAGCCCTAAGGCCCAAGTCTTTGCTCGTCCCGTCAAATTTGACAGGGCGAAGGTGACTTGCATCTCGTCACCCTCGATGTGACGGGCCCTTATGGCGTCGCCCTAACTCGACGAACCATCTCAAAGGGGAATCTTCATCGGTTACCATGTACCTTGAGATATCTAGCTCCAAGGTTTCGGGTCGACGCATGTGCGTCGGTCCGCCCATCGCCTGATGAGAGCCTTGCTGCTGTAGCAAGGCAATCTTCTGTCTTTCGATGCAAGTTCCCCTTGTAGGAACTTGTTGATAGCAGCATGTTGCTGGTCTCTGCTTAGAGACTCCAACATACTTCTGATGGCGGGTTCGTCCATGAGCACACTCATGCGGCCGACTACCTCCCACTCTGAGTCACTCAGATGGGAGTAGCCTTCACGTGTGACGTGAAAGCTGTCGTCTTCTATGTCCAATATGTTTATGTCGGATGGACACTTAAAAGTCGTTGGACGGACTACGAAGTGCTACCAGGTGTAACGAAGCACCCTTTTTTTGGGTGCCGCGAAACTTCACGTACACTAGTACATGCAGAGGAAGCTAATCTACAAAACAGCTAGTTTGAGTAAAGGGTAAAAAGAGAACTGTATTTAATTTAACTAAGCTATCAATAAAACTTTAATCTTTATCTAACTATGTTAAACTACGCCGTCGTATAACGACAACCTGCTCACCACTCATTGCGCGCGTCTAGCAGCGATTGGTGGCAATCTAAGGTTGTTATGTCTTATATCAACCAATCTTGGAGCAGCGAATGATTATTATCCAAAAGGGGATAATATTCCTTCAATACTATCCATCCCGGATAACATCGGTAAAATATTGTCATGCTAGACACTCTCCTTAAAGACACCGTTTGGTGTCAATTTCATGCAACGGGCTACCCCATTACAGCATTATCGATGTCGTACCGATTGATTTACATGATTCATCGTCTTCGGCTCTTCCTCTTACCACTCGATATCAATGCACACCGATGTATAGCTTATGACCCAACCATCCTGAATCGTCGCTGTATCAATACAGATCCATCTGCATGTTAAAGTATCCGCCAACCTTCTGCACCCAATTTCATCCAGCCAACCTCCTTATTCTGTACCAACTCCTTCTACCACCAAAGCCCCAAAGATCTTCCATCGCTGGTCATTGAAGTCACTCCCTGTCACTCCCAGCCACTGAATCCGTCACTGAGTTTTTCCTGAGCTCGAGCCGCTTCCACCTGCATGGCGACAGAGCCGACGGTCTACGGCACGAGCTCCTTAGCGAGCGACGAGCGTCTGAGCGCGCGCCAAACGCGTCGTAACGTCGTGTTCAAGTGGTCGCTCCTGTTCGTGAGCGTCTGTGGATTGGCCGCTGTCGTCGCAGTCTTCAGCCTCTCAACCAAATCGAGACCTGAAGCGTCCGTGGCGTCCCTCAAGACGACGACGTCCCCCACGGCCGCTACTCGAGGGTCCGACTCGGATCTCTCGTGTTTCCAGAGCTCGTACGTCGCCAATGTGACGGTCATGATGGAGCCCATCGCCGGCCTCAAGTGGACGCGGGCCGTGCACTCGGACGCTGCGTCCGTCATCACTGTGGACGTGGCCACGCAGTTCCAGGAGATCATGGGCTTCGGAGGCGCTTTCACGGAGGCAGCCGCGCTGCAGTTCCAACGGCTGTCGCTTGAGAAGCAGGAGGAGCTGCTGACGCTCTATTTCGACCCGGACAAGGGCAGCGCGTACACGTTCGGACGTGTCCCCATGGGCTCGTCCGACTTCTCACGGGCTTCGTACAGTTTTGATGACGTGGTGAACGACACGACGCTCGAGCACTTTGACCGCGACTTGAAGCACGACCAGGAAGTGCTGATCCCGTTCATCCAGCGCGCGCTCGAGCGGCAGCCAGCGCTCAAGTTGTTCTTTGCGCCCTGGAGTCCTCCAGCCTGGATGAAGCGCAAGGCGATCGACTACGTGCCGAGTATGCTGGACTCGGCCAAGCCCATTGGCTTGAAAGACGACGTGCGGGCGACGTGGGCGCTGTACTTTTCCAGGTTTATCACGGCTTACAAGAAGCACGGCATTGCGTTCTGGGGGCTCACACCACAGAACGAACCACAGGCAGAGGTGCCGTGGGAGTCGTGCATGTACACGGCCGAGTACCAGGCCGAGTTCATCGGGAACTTCCTTGGGCCGACGCTCGAGCGGGACTACCCGGAGCTCGTGCTCATGGTGTTCGACCATAACCGCGGCAGTGTCCATCAATGGGCAACAGAGATATACAACCACCCGACTGCCGCTCAGTACGTGGACGGCATGGCTTTCCACTGGTATGACGAGCAACGCTACATGGATGGCGTCGAGTACCACGAGCGCCTGAACGACACTCACTTTGTGGATCAAACTCGCTTCATGTTGGCCACCGAGAGCTGCAACTGTCCTGGTGTGGCGCACGGCGACCTTGCGTGGTTCCGTGCGCAGCGGTACGGACACGACATCATGACGGATCTGAACAACTACGTGGCTGGATGGGTCGACTGGAACTTGCTGCTCGATCACGAGGGAGGACCCAACCACTTGGCCAACATATGCGACGCCCCCATCATTCTGACAGAGGACGGCACCGACTTCTACATCCAGCCCATGTACTACTTCATCCAGCACTTCTCCAAGTTCATTCCTGTGGGCTCGCGCCGTGTCGAAACACAGGTGGCAGCAAAGTTTGTTCGTCCTGGTGATCCGCAATTGTACGTGGACTATCCGTCGATGCTGGCAGCTTGCGATGGCAGCTCGCGTCAACAGTGGCGGCCGACGGATGATGGCAAGCTCGAGGTGACAGGTACTGGCTTTTGCATTGATCTAAAGGAGATTCCGTGGCAGGGACACCAAGGTCTGCTCGTAGAGTGCAGGTACACGCAGCAGCATTGGACGTACGAGCTTGACACCGGCCGCATTCGTTTGGGGGATTTCTGCATCTCGCTGAACCACGGCTCAACTGAGAATGGTGTGCGCATCAGCACTGACTTGTGCGAAGACAAGGCTGTACCCCACCAGCAGTGGAGGTTCAACGCTGAAGACGGTACCATGCGCTCATTCGCGTCGACGACGGACCAGTGTGTGACTGCCGGTTATGCGTTCGTGCAAGCCGCTGCTTTTGTGACTCCAGAGAACCGCAAGGTGCTCGTGGTGTTGAATGAGAACACGGAGCCAGTCGATTTCGAGTTGCAGGTTGGTGGTAACGCGCTGCAGACGACAGTGCCTCGCAGCGCCATTCGGACGTTTACCTGGGAGTAAGGCGACAGCGGTCATGGCGTAGCTTGCTACGGTGGTAGGAATGGCCATGGTAAAACGCGAAGGCGCAAAAAACAACGTTGAAAACGTGACAACCAAGTCAGCATCACGGATGCAAACAGTGATTTGGGCTGCACCTTACATGTGCCACAGAGCGTCGAAGGTGTTGCTGCAATCGTGGACGTCAACGTGCTTTAACCTACACTGGATCAGATGACAAGTCTCGCAACAGATCGTTCCACCTATCGGACGGATCCGCGTCCTTTCCATCTCCGTTCACTTGCGGACCCTTGTCCGGGTCCCAATCCTCAGGAAGCACAATCTGCATCTCCAGCGGCACGTTGCGCTTCTTGCGTCTCAGTTCGAACACTTCGATCGTGTCTTTCAGATACTCGCCATCCAGCTCTTCTTTCGGCACCTCCTTCCACTGGAAGTACGTCTTCAGATAGCACATGAACTCCGCTCGGATCTCCGGTGACCGCCGCTCATTCGCCACGAAGATCACGGTTTTGCGATGCGAAAGAGCCAACAACGACTGCACCAGCGGCTTGACACAGGCCTTCTCGTACACGACATCTGCACACAAGATGCAGTCGAACGGCGCCTTCAGCCTCGCCACTGGCGTGCCCCTACACCACAGCACCTGTCAGCATCTTGACTCATTGCGACAACAGTTCCAGTAAGTGAATCCATCCAGAGTCCACACAATCGCGTCTCACCGCACCAAGCGTATCGCTCGACTCGGACGCGCTGTCGCTCCTTGTCCGTCAGATTCGCTCTCACATTGCGTCGGAGCCACGGGAGCACCGGTCCAATGTCCGTAAGCACCACATCTGCCAGTCCATCAGTGACGATTGCACTGGAAATGCCCGCGAGACCGCCACAGCCAGCGCCTAGTTCACAAATGGACGTAAAGCTCCGGAACTGTTCGCGTCTGCGCTCGATGAGCTTGAACAGCGTCTTGCTACTGTCCCAAACGGTGGTTCCCAGAACAAACGAGTCCGGGTCCTGCTCCACGGACACGACTCGGGACTCAGTTATGGACACTTCCACATAGCGAGCCCAGTGTGTAAACGAGGCTTCGCGCGCCAGTGGCTCGGATGTTTCATCCATGCCGTGTTGTCAATGCAAAGGGTATTGTTCCCTTGCATGAGTGACCATCAATGTTTTGCTGACTTATCGACGTAATGTAATTTCTAAATTCGTGATAAATACAGGGGTAGACCACCAGTACAATCCGAACCCGAAGGTTTAACATTTACGGCAGCGTTCTGATGTGAGTTTCGTCAGATTTTAGGAGACGAGCCGAAGGACTGGTGCATCCAGATGGTTCGGTGTGGACGACAGCGGAACATGTCTAAATTAATACTCAGGGGGCGCTAATGTTCGGTAGATTTATGGGGTTTACGATTAATGTCAGATTTAAAAAATTATGCATAGGTTTCCTGTATAGCTCCCGCGCCGCATCACCGGTTCCTCCACCCCACCTTTCCGACCTTAACGAACCGCCGGTTGTACACAACACCACTTCACGACGCAAAGCACACCACAATGACGGGTAACATCCACATCGTTCGTTGGAAATGTCACACAGCAAACCCAAAGCTGACCAGCTCCAACTACTCACCTGGCCTCAGAATACGCACAACGTCAAAGTGAACCAGGCTACTGTCTCCAAAATTTCAAGCGGAACGCCAAATTACACAAGCTCGAAGTTGATGCAAACGTAAACGGCAAGCGACATCGGACAGTCAAGTATCCTTTGATGGAAGCTGCACTTGCTGATTGGTTCAAAGGTCATCAGGAGCGAGCAAATATGCGCGGTGACCTTGTGTGCGCGGCTACCAGGAAGGTTCTAGACCGTCTTTATGCAGGTGAAGAACCATCCAATTGTGGAATCATTCAAAAATAGGCGATGAATTTATTCACACCGCCGGCTTGGAGAGAGTGACAGTGTGAACGCGGATGTCATCGTCGACAACCTACTATGCCGTGTAGAAACCCTTGACCAGTTTGAGTGAAGGAATAACTACAACAATAATGAGAACGAAATATTAGTATGGGTTGAAGGTGAGCGTATTATTCTTATGGGTTGAAGGTGAGCGTCGCACGCACCGATGGGAGTTCGTAGCGCTCGCCATGTCATTATTGTTTTCATCGATTAACGGCCGGACAAATCTCCAGCGACACGGCAACCGGAAGGACGTAAACAGAACAAGGGGCGCATCAATGTTGCTGTTTCCTGCAATGGAGACGGTAGCCACAAGATTTCTCTATGGATCATCGAGAAGTACGCCAATACCATGTTTTAAATACCTTGCGTGGAAAAGATGTGATGAGAGTATCGAAACAGCGCTAAGGCACAAATGATGCAGTTCCTTCCAGGATATCTCTTCGACACACCACAGTTTTTCACCTACCTCCCAACACTACGTTGAAAATTTGACCGTGCGACCACGGTGTCACCCGTTGCTTCAAAGGTCACTGTCGGCACAGCTTCAGCTATCTCCTTCTATACCACCTGTATGACAAGTCTGAGCAGCCGGAGAAATTTGACGTCCTTTAGGCCATTCAGATGGCAGTGCCAGCTTGAACTACCGGCGTCAAACCGAGAACTCTCCAAAACTGATCCCGTAACTGCAAGATCCAAACATAACAGCTGGCAATCTGTTAGATCAAGGGAACCAGATCATGGATAGTGCTCAAATTCCTAGGGATACTTTAGAAATAAACTGGAAAGACTGAAATCCCAGATTCGCGTGTCTTAATTTTGACATCCGATGGACATCCAAGCCCTTCTCAATTGCTCCGCTGAAGAAGTGGTGGATCTTATCCCGGACAATAATACTGTGGTTTAGAACTAGTGGATCCAATATAGAGATAACACCACAGAGAAATCTGACGACAATAATGACGACAGACAAGATCATCCCAAAAATGTCCCCGTCAATTCACAGAAAATACATCAGACACTTCGAACGTTCTGGATTCAACAAGATAAAGAGTCCCAGGAATTCGTTTGCACTCTGCTCCAAATGAGTGGCAAGGTTAGCAAGATTCGTATCAATCAAGCAGTTCAGCAGAACGTTCGCCACTTTTTTAGCCGTGATGAGATACCTAGATTGTTGTTGCAACATTTGTGCAGCAAAAGCGTCGTCAAAACATTATTGCGTCCTCTGTGACAAGAGCGTAGTTGACGCCTCTGGTAGAAACTTTAGGAAACAATGGTAAGACGTTGAGCGCTTAGCGGGGTCTTCTCGACGTAGTTAATTTCTACATGCGAACAAAGCTCCATGGACCTGTGTTTGTACAGCATTTTATAAATATGTTCTTATAGATCAATTACCGCGTGTCGTCTAGATTACGCGGTTTGAGATTGTTCTCGACACGAGAACGATATAGCCAGCATGATACAGAGTGCACCCACGATGACGGACGCGTGGAAAGACATGAAATTTGGCTACTAACCCAAAATGTAGTAGATATCAAGATCGCCTTCTTGCCCTCGAATAAGCTTACCACAAATTCTGATAACACACTACACGATCTTCAAAGCTAGCTCGTGCTCGTAACAATACGAAAAATGAAAAAGAGTCACTCAAAACTCACTGCTAGAATTTAAGCTTCGTGCCAGCCGCCAAATCTGTGTCGATACGGCCATAAATTTGCAGAATCTCAGCATTCCGGTTGTGCACATCCTTGTGATAGATGGATCGTCTTGGAATCCGAGAGAAAATGTGCTCATCGCCCATTCCTTCTTGTTGGCGATAGGTTTTGTCCCTCATACATGGGGGTGACGGAGCGGCAGCCGGATGGTGGGGGTTTACCGAATAAATATCGTGTTATCTGCGTCCGCAAGCTCGCTCAAGTTAATGTCTCGGGAGTTTTTCCCAACATCCGATTTCTTGTCGATGCCTGTTCAATCCACACAATTTACAAGTGTCATAAAGGTTGCATCGATTTTGCAAAATAGGCAAAACAGATAAAATATGATCTAGTATTTCGAATTAATAATTCAAAGTAGAGGTTTACCGCAATCACATACAGCACAAGTCGGTACCGAGCCATTCAATCAAACTGTGGAGATTGTTAATTTATAGAGGTTCTACGGTACTGAGATTGATACTAGCAGTGTAGACTATATAGATTCACGCTAGGTACTGTAAGCTCCAATACATCAATCAATTTCGAATCATCCTTCCGTCGCTCAAGACGTCGTCTCTCTAACCAATATGTGCAAGCTATCTTCGCTAGACCTTAATATTTGAAAACGAGACACTGGCACCATCAATGTCCTGATACGAGCACGATGGCATCCGCACACGAAGTGTCCTTCAAAACGTCCAAGCAAGAATTCGTTGGTGGCAACGACGCAGCATACAGGCGCTTCATGCATCGCATGGTGTAAACTGGAAAACAACACGGGCCTTCTTGTATCCTCAACTCGTGGAATATTGTGTCAGGTCAGGTCGAATAGCATAACATTTGTAGTGATGCTGCTTCACAACGACGCCGACTACTATCATGTTATTGACGTAGAGTGCGGGTTGCGTGGGCAGACCTAGAGACATCGTATGCTGGATGAAGCATCATACTCAACTTGGATACGAGAAGCACGGAGCCGCGGATGCAAGAAGAAGTGAAGGTGCTCACGGTTGAACATATTAAAAGGAAAGACTAGACGACGGAATCGGTGAATACTCAAGAGGCAACCGGATATTTAGTAATGTGTCAAATTTTGCTAGTACGCGTGCTGCAGAAGTTAGTGTAACGGCATAACGATGTTGGAACAAGCAGAAAGAGAACACCGACGTGCTGGACGCGGCGTGAACACTCTTTATTTGAGGATAACATCGTTTTATGGAAAAACTGCGAGTATGACTGACCACAGCGACCGAGTGGCGCTCGTAGTATTTCCGGAGTGCAACCTCGAAACATGTACTCGCTCTCGGAGGGGGGGGGTATGAAGAATTTACGGTGGTGGAAACAACAGGCATCTACGACGAAGCCGTATTTTTTGCTCTTGACGAGGTGGAATATGGCGAAGTATATATGCAAAATAAAAATGGAAGCAATCATGGGTGCTGAGAATAAAATTGAGCAAGCGCTTCTGCCCGAAGGTGAAAAGTACGATGTAGAGATCAGTAATGCACTCTTCGTCTCTATCAAACGAAGAAATGAGCGGGTTATGCACATATTGCAGATCTAGCAGTTTCCAAGAGAGGCTTGACGACACCAATACGATAGTACCTCCCAAGTATACCTATCGAGTGGTAGAAAGGGAGGAATTTGTGAATGGTCCATACTGGTTTTTAATGGCTTAAATGGCTGCTAGTGGTGCCTTAGACAACATCCGAATAATTTCACGCACGCATGGTTTGCACACTGGCCGATGTTATTTCCAGAATGATCGTCAATGGCACAATCTAGGATGAGCCAATAGTATTAAGCCATGGCGTGCTTCAAGGCTGCCTTGAATGAAACATAGCCTAAACCTTGTCCCAATAAATAAAGACAACCACATCTACAAATCCCTTGATCTGCTTCATATCGATGCTCCGAACCCGTGGAAGTGAATTTGATGAGAAACTTTGAGTATTTGCTGTTGATCTTAGGCGAAGAAGCGGAGTATGACGGCATTATATCGGCGTGACAAGAAGTAAAGTGAAGTGTTTATCAATCATATATCATGATGGTGGAGACGCAGTTCAGTAGGAAGGTTAAGTCATTTGTACACAAAGGACGTTCAAATTTAAGTAAAAATTCACGCAAGGCACTATACAAAGACTAAGACCTCGATCAGCAAGGCCTAGTATGGGTACGAAACCGAGATCACAGAAGACCGTGACATTAAGAACATCACGATAGGTCGAAGATATCTACAATTCGCAAATTCGTACAATTTTTTGAAGGAGGCGGCGATCAGGATAATCTACATAGAAACCATGTGCCATCCTTAAGCTTCAAGCCAAGAATTCTTTCGACATCGTGTACAATGCAAGGCACGTGTGAATCACATGCACGTATTTGGGTGTCGTGCTTTATTATGATCACGAAAGAGAAGCAACCTTGATTTATCGCGCATGAATGTTTGGGCTGTGGATAAGAGTAAA